CACAAATGGTAGAACAGGATTCAAATCCTGAGCCTTTACCCAGCACCCTCTGCAAGCTGGCTGGCTGGCCTGTTGGGAGACTGTGGTCAAGGTCTGCCCCAGGCGGTGCTGACCCTGATAAGCCAGCAGCTCCCCTGCACTCATCTCTGGGGGCCTGAAGGCTGCTACAAGAATGCAGCATAAACTGCTTAGTTCAGCCTCACTGAGCATTTCTTAACTTTTACCATCTTCAACCCATCACTCGAGATTTACAAAAATTTTAGTGATGCATATTGATTAGGCTACATTGCCAAGCTCTCTGATGGCTTTGGCTCTGGGAGAGACTGTCACTGGGGGCAGATTAGATTTGTATGGATACTGTTTGTTGGCTGGATTGGCCTTCACCTTACTTGCGTCTTGGGCCCTGCAGGGATCTGTTGGTCTCTCAGTGTGATCCTTTGTGCCACAGGAGAGACTGGAGGCAGGAATGAGATAGACAAGAAGACAAGAGCTAGGTCAGGTGGTGGCCTATCTGCCTAGTCAGCAAAACAACCCCAGCACAACAGTAGGGGCATTTATTTATATCTTTACAAAGTTAGTATCACATAACACAAGGTTGCCTAGTGACTAATAGCTGATATTAACCAGGCAGAATACTTTTCTCAGGACGGAGGTAGCTTGATTGCTTTAGGCACTGAGATCTAATCCTGCTCTCACACATATTGCCAATTGCCAGTTTTAGAGGCTCCCAAAATGCTTACCCTTAAATCCTGCCACTTTCACTCATCCTTGGATAGGTTCAATCTGGACACATGGAAGAGGAGGATAGAGGGGATTTCCATTTCATTTCCGTCCCACTGAGATTCTAGAATCAAACTCATGGAGCTGGAAAACCTAGTCTTTATCCTGACTATGGCAATCAAAGCCTAAAAACTCCAGCCCTGCGGCTAGAGATGTGTTTGAATAATCATACATAGAATAAAACAATGGCACCCTAAGGCAGGGATCCCCAGACTCAGATGTCCAGAGGAGACAGTGGGGTGTTGAGAGGTAGGGAAATCAGCCAGTGGCACCTGCATGTCTCATGTATTGGAAGTTTGTCCTTAGCTCTAGCTGGCTGTATCCAGTGGAAACACAAGGCAACAATGGCCTGACCTTGGCACTTTTCTTTAGAAGCCAGGAATACAGATCTACATGGAAACGTCATTTTAAAACAACTTTTAAAAACATCTGTAGAAAATATTGGTAATGAACTGAAAGTAAAATAGGTAATTCTATGGCTAATGGAACTGAATACAGAGCAGACCAGTCTTGCCGGTTCGTACAGTGCCCTGTGATACATATTTGACTCGGGGGGGCGGGGGGGGGGCGGGAACAGAGGCCGGCTAGAGCCTGAAATAATAGGAGGCCATGTTGAATAAATGCTGGCCTAGATCTAGATGAAGGGTGGACCCTAGAGGGCCTGTTCAAGTCTAAATGTAGCAAACAGGGAGAAGGCGTGGCAAAGGGGCTAGGGTTGGCGTGGGAAGCACAGGCTTGGGGTGAAATCCTTGCTTTTCAACATAGTAGTTGTTACAAGTAGTTGCCAGTCTTGATTTCTTCAAACCTAAAACAGACACTAAATCTTGACAGGATCATGAAAATTCAATGAACTTGTACATAAGAAAATGGCTGCACTTGGAAAGGATTTAAGACAGCTTTTGAAAAGAGGTTTCCTGAAATGAAATGATTTTTAGTGTGCCTTAAAGTCACCCGGAGGGCTCACTGGGTCCCCCACCCAAGTGCAGGCCTTTGGAAGGCTCTTGAGGAAGATACTTGACGAGAGCAGGTTTCAGGAAGGGTGGCCAAATGGCAGTTTGGAGCCCGGAGTCAGCAGGACTGGTGAGGTCTCAGGTGGTGTGACCAGTTCGAGGGGAGCAGTGTTTACTACCATGTGGCCCTGGAGCCCAGCCCAACCCTGGTGACAAGACCATAAAAGCTGACCTCCTGGCTCCTCCTTAGATGAGGTAATGGACAGCGTACAGCATCAGTGCCAATGAAAGCTTAGCTATGCCAGCTCCTGTCTGCTCTCCTCTCGTGTCCTCAGCACCCTTAAGTCAGCTGAAGGAGGCAGGCCAGGCCCCCTGCAGGTGCTCACTTAGAAAACTTTCAAACCCAAACCTTAGCACCAGCCTCAGACCTATGTCACAGATCGACCTTTGCCGGGTCCCACCTATTTCTCTCCTAGGTCTTTAACAGCTAATGAAAATCTTCTACAGAGTTTTAGGCAATGCTCTGAGCCACTTTACAAACTCATGTTCAGAAGACTGCTTATAGCTTTTGAACCTTAGGAAGGTTAAGCTTTATGCAGATGTGACTAAGTCAAAATGTCCAAATACAAACAGCAGTCCTCACAAGAGACCATGGGAGAATTAAATAATTTTACCCTTCAGGAACTATTAAAACATGTCTTCTACTAATTACAATTAATTCATCCTTACCAATCAAGAGTAATGCTAAAAATGGTTTTCTAAAAAGAAAATTTAGTACATATGAAAAGTCACCCAGGTTTATGGGGCCTTACTGTTTCTGCAATCAGTAGGGGAGAAGACTTTTAATTAGTTTAAGGAGGCTATTTCTTTGGGGAGTTTGTATGGAAGTATCATGATGATTGTTATGGCTCATGTCTAGATGTCCCTCCATGCCTTATGTCATCATAGGTCGTGCTTTTTCAGAGGTAAAGGATCTAGAATGTGTGGTGTTGGGGTTGTATATGATCACTACATCAGTTCACTGATTGGCTTGGCATATGACCTAAACCAGGTGGCCTAGGTGGATCATAAAAGGGACAGAAAGAAGGTACTGTTGATTGTTCCTTGCTTGCTTTTGTTGTCTCTTGCCTGTCAGGGACTCTTTAGATATTTGTCTCAGCAATGAGAGAAAAGTCACTAAGACAGTAACAAACGCTTATTCAGTTCATAGTGCTAGGATACAGAATGCATGTGAACGCCTATCCTGACTCTAGTAAACACAGGGGAGGTCAAACACGACAAAAATTAAGGCTGAAGTCACTTCTGAAAGCTTCCAATCTCACCAAAAATCTAGGATTCCAACAACTGGATCTAGGTTGAGATGTTGGGAACAGAACAGGAACAATGGTTTCCAGTAGCAAGTGCAGAAGCTAGTCCAGGCAAAAGAACTGGGCTTTCAAAAGGGGACAGGTACCCTCCAGCCACTTCCCATCTGCAATGAGGGAGTTCCATAACTTAGCTCTACAGCTTGGCTGGCTTTCCAGGGTGAGATCTGTTCTTATCTTACAGAAGTCAGCTCCGTGCTCCAGGACTGCAGAAGATAGTGGGTTTTCTAACCACAGGGAGAGAAGCCCAACTGGTGTGAGTCTGACAATTTTATTTCTTGCTTAGAAATGAATGGTTAAGGTATTTAAGGATGAAGTATAATTCGGTGGACTAAACTTTCTTAGGGGGGAACTGTTCTATCTCAGGATACACACACTTTTTCTAGGTTCTGCACAACTACCCCAGTACCCAAAGCATGAGGCGGCTTCATTTAAGGGGGCAAATACATTTGCCTGGCAACCAGCTGGTGACAAAGTAGAGGCTGGTTTTCTTGTCCCCATCCCTTGTAGTGCTGTTGGTCTTGACTAGCTCTCTAGCTCCTGCCAATCTGAATCCATAAGGCCATGGGAATACAAGCATTTTTTCCCCTTTGATTTGACTTGGCTAAGAGCCAAAAAACTAGTCTTTAGTGAACAGCAGTAAGACCTCTACCCAGCTAACCATCCTAGTAAATGTTCTCCCTCATTTTTTTTTTTTTTTTCTGAATGAAATCTTTCACATAGGTCACTCTTTGTGGATAACATGATAAAGTAACTGGCATCTTGACATATTTAAATCCATGAAAATTATGGCTCTTATCAGCAGGTCCACCTTTTTTTTAGTAATAAGAAAATGAAAGAGAACTGAGACAGACTAAAAACTCTAAAAAATATACAAAATATAGTCAGCTGAACGTTTGAGAGCAGAAGCATTTTCTCTGAGCTTATGGATTCTGTCCTTTCTGGTTGAACTGGGTCACTGCTGGAGGGACAAGATGCTGGGAGGCCACTGGGAAGGCGCTGTACACAGATCTCCCTCTTGGAAAAGATGCCTCCCAGGAAGGAACATTCTAGTTATAGGCCTACGGTCTTCGAGAAAAAAGGCACTTGGGCACTCAGAATGCAAAACAGGACTGAGAGACGGAGCAGCGTTTATCAGCAGCAATGTGAGGACCGCAGCACTCCTTCTGGGGGCGGAGAGCACGAGCTGTGGAATCCTGCAACTGAAAAGGAACTGTGCCCACTACGAGGTAGGAAATAGACCCTCCTTCTGTTGCAACTGCCACCTGCCCTGAACTGAGGCCAGTTTAAAATGATATCCCATGTACAAAAAGATCTTGCAACATTCTTGGCAGCGCACTCATAATTTGGGGGCATTTAAGGTTAAGGAGCAAGTAGAACATTCATTTTAACATGGAACCAGATGAAGCAGTTAAAAATGGTACAATGAGGGCTGGGCATGCAATTTACCAGCTCATGTGGAGCACGTACTTATTAGCATGTGCCATCAATAAAAAGATCAGATTAGCAGGACCCACTAGAATCAACTGAAAATGCTCAGCTTTTGGTTTGAACTGACCACTGAAGGCTTGTTATATAAAGTGTGTTTGGGGCACACAGACACAGATGCGCAGGTCCCACCCTACAACTTCTAAACCAGAGTATGTACTTCCCAAGATCCTCGGGGACAATTCTGCACACCCCAGGCTGAGAAACACTGGCAGGATGTACTGCCCTCAAGTGACCAGCATGGGTAATGGCTCAGTGAGGAAAGAAACCACCTGCCCTCCAGCCAGCCACATCAGCCAGCTTCAGAGACGAGTCACAGCCACCAAGCCTTGCTGCCAGTCATGTGTTATGCAAAAAAGTGGCAGAGGAAAAATGTACCCCTTCCCAGACCTGGGATCTAACATTCAGGTAATGCCTGCAAAGTAGGAGCATCAAATGATTTTATTACAAAACATCATTTGTTGATCATTCACTTTCCTAAAAAATGCAAACTGTGAGAACAGGAAACTTCTAAGACTTGCCAGAAACAGAAAGTGGTTATACCTAATGTCTGGCTTCCTTGTCACTCACCAGCTACATGTTTTGTCCCCTCTGACAAGGGAAAGGAAGCTGCCTAGAGGATTCATGCCCAAGAAGGTCACAACAATGTTAAGGCTATCAATGTTACCTGCTAGTTTGTAACTCTGAGATATAGGAACAAGTAAGCACTATCAAACACCTACTCCCAGGGGAAGTGTACTGTCCTTATTCTCTGAAGTTATCTTTCAGACTATGTTCTTTCATTATAGCTTCTGCTGATCCCAGACTGCAATCTCTAAAACCCATGCACAGTCTCCATGTTCAAGTATAAAAGTTTGTTTCAGGACTATGGTAGGTTGCTGTAGTGTTTACAATTCTGTAGTGTCTACTGCACGTCACACCCCTGGACGAGGTGGTCAAGCCGTGGCACAGCACAGGGGCGCATGAACAACTTTCTCACTGCCAGACTTGCTCCCTGGTCAATCTGGACACTGCACCACAGTCAAAGCAGAGATCTTGAAGTCAATCAGTGGTGACCCTGGCGACCGAAGTGGTACTCTTAAGTAACAGGAATCCATCTCTTCACCATTAATTAAATGGAGCTTTCAAAAGGTGTCATACCCATTCTAAAAAGAAAGGATAATCATATAAATGTTGCTTTTTAATACAATATTCAACTTTATGTTTCTAAAGGAATTTACTGTTAAACTAGAAAGACTTAAAAATGAATGCTTTATACTCTATAATGGACTCGGGGTCTTTCTCTCGTGAGTGCCCACACAAGCCTGCTGCTCTCACACCCTTCACTGACAGTTCACTTCACTGACTGGCTTTATTAGAAACAAAGACGTCTCAAATCTTAAGACGACACTAAGTGCAGAAGAGGGGCTAGCACACATCCCAAGGTTTGTCAACAATGACAAGTACATAAAAAACCCAATATTTATATTTATTGTCTTCCAAAAACTTGCAAAAAGTAGCTACCCTTACTTGTGCAGCTACTGCTGATTTTTAAAATGTAACTCAATTCCTAATTTAACAAAAAAGGGAGAACAGAATCTCATGGTAACAGAATGGCAAACAAACGCTACTAAACACATGGAAATATACGAGAGCTCAAAGCAGACACAGCATTCATTCCATTTAGTATGTTACTTTAGAATGCACTGCTTGATTTTATATTAAAATTGCACACGCAAGTTAACTCATGTCCAGGGGAGAGACTCATTTAAGCAATTTCAGAAAAAGAAGACTTCCCGTGTGAATTTCTCCGGCACACACCAATCATCCCAGCTGGACTCTAATGAAGCATCTATGCACAGCTTCAATGCTTAGTTCTAGTCACAGAGGGCCATGCTCAGTGATGGAGGAAAATACTACTAATTAGTTCTCAGTGAAATAGGACTCCTAACAGGAGGTGAAGCCCATCTGCAGTAAACACTTTTCTGAAAAGTCATAAAATATGATCCCCAACTACTGCTTATCTCTTCTAGCCATTTTGTGTATCTATGAGACAGACACAAATGCTCCCAGACAAAGGTGGGACACCAGACCTTAGGAAGTATCTTGGGACAGAGCTGGAGGGTCCTGGCTTTCGGGCTCTGGAGGGGGCGCCGGCACAGCTTCCTTTTTCTTGGCTGCCAGGAACTCATGAATTGCTCGTTCTATCTGTGGCCTGAAGATGTGGTTGAGTTTTGGATCCACCACCTGAGATATAATCCTGTCCACTCCCGCTTCCAACATCCCTGACCTTGTAGAGACAAGACAGATCACCGGGTTATTCAGTTCCTCTGAGAGTCATCTTTAGCTCCAATAATTCCCAAGTGTCATGTGAGAGTCCAGCAGAAACCCACCTGTGCCCTTCTAGAAAGTTCTTTTAAAAAATAATTTTATTGAGAAACAAATAGCAATGAGACAGTTTCAAAACTGATTACTAGCACAGTTTCAATAATTAATACATTGCATATTGTTGTCTTAGTGGTTATTCACTGTACAAGTTGCAGACATGATATTTGGTCCACAAACACTATTAGAACAAATCTCTCTGTTCACTAAATTAAGAGAATGCAGCTGTATGTCTATCCTATTTTGAGTATACAGATACAAAATGGTCGTTCATTTGTATCCCCCTTTTTTGGTTAGTTTTGCCAGAGAAAGGCATTCTACTGTCATTTAAATACTGTAGGTGCATGAATTCAGCAAAATATTCCAATACAGTCCAGTAGCCCATAATAGTAGTGGGTTTTCCGTAAGATTGGCAATGTCAGAAGTTGTTGACTTGAGTCTTAGAAAGTCCTCTAAAGGAAAATCTACTTACTCCAGGGAGTTCAGGGCACTTTAACTTCTCCTTTGAGGGGAAATTAACAACTAGGAGCTACCTACTATTACTGACTCACAGGTCATCCACTACCACCTCAATTTTGTACAAAGAACAAAACAAAACTAGGCAGCTACTCCAAAGACAAACAACAAAGGACAACATAGCAGGAAACTGACATGTGCAGATGAAAACCTTTACTGCACTATCACAGCCAGTCATCGTGGATGTCTGCTTTCCCTGCTAGTTATTCTCTTACTATTCAAAGCAGAAGCAATGTTTGGCAGCACTCTTGCTGTTATCCTGGAACCACAGACAACACAGATCAGCCAGGGAGAAGCCTTCTCATCACCAGAACATCAGCGTGGCTTCCAGCCATGGCCACTACCTACAATGCTTGGAAGCAATGGTTCTAAGCTTCTATGGGGCTAAAATGCACCCTTAAGTGCTTTCAAAGCAGAGCAAAATACAGTCAACATCTACCAATGTTTGTATTCAAACACTTGGGACATGAAACCTAAGAGAGCAGGGCCCCGTGACCTCATCACCTTCAGCTGCTTCTCAACACTGCCACACTGGGCCAAGCTGCCAACACAACCAAACCCAAATCATAGCACCACTGTCTCAAGTGAGCTGGTTCAGCTAAGCACTACCACCATTACCTACACTGCCACAGGGGATCCTTGTGCTGCCACTTTCATACTATCCCCCTCCCCCTGCCATCCCTAACACTGGGCAGCCATAAACTTTCTGTTTATCTGTTAGCTCATGCATGTTGCGAAGCGAATCATGCACCAGGTATCCTTTTAATATTAGCCTTTTCTCATTTGCCATAATTCCCTGATATTTCCATTTTCAAAGAGACAGGCTTCATAGGCTTTATGATATTCAGGAGAGTTTAAAAAAGCCTGAACAGATTAAACAAATAAAGCTCTCTCAGTACATCAGATTCCATACTCCATCTCTACTTGTGACCAGCAACATTGAAGGCACTTGGATAAATTCTCTGTACCGCCTTTCTAAGTAAAGATCTGGTTGTTACTCTGAAGGACAATACCTTAAGAGACCACGCCTTCCTGAAAGCTGCCCCAATTCTTGGGTGGCCAGAATGCACTCACAGAATTTATAGAACTCACAGTCACTCGTGACAATAAACATTAAGCTCCTCTTGTCTAAGGTCCAAACACCATTATCTTGGTATAAAGCTCATAGGCTTACACTACACTGAAAACTTCACAGAACAGGAAACAAGTCCAAGAATTTAGAAAATGCCAATGCATCTATCTAGTAGATATGCACAGGCAGGAGGCCTCCTAAGCCTCGAAAAACTACCAAGAATTGCAGGGGAGTGCTTTTTTCTACCCTTGATTATAATAAAGGAGCAGTCAACTGCACTTGCTATAAAGTATCATCTACCTTGATTAAACAGTGACTCAGATCAGCCTTCTTAGGTACTGTCCTTGTGATTGCTGCTTTTTCAAAAGCTCTAATCCTGCTTACTTACTGAACCACACTCTGTCTCAGACCATTTCGCAATTGGTTCTTGTTCATTGTAGGATTCCATTCTTGCTTGTCCAGATGTGTCGACACAAAATTATCCACTTTCTGTCTCAGGTTTTGGTAAGCTGGCTAAAATATTAAAGAGATAATGTCAGCTGTTACATGCAGCAAAGTGTCCACATGCATTTTCATACCTGGACACACTTCCACATGATTGTGGAGCTCACCACATAGCAGTGTAGCCCTGAGTCAATGGCCGTCCTAGGTACCCTCGTTAAGGTAGACGGCACAAGGCTATCTGCTTCACTTCTGTGATCCCTTTTACTTTTCCAGCAACTTTTTGAGGAAGGTCCTCTTAGCAATCTCCTGACTCCATTTTACAGACTAGACTTTCAGGCTTGGAAAGGGAAACAACCTGCTCATATGGCTGCAACACAGCTAAGCCAAGGTCAGGCCTAGGCTGTTTCTGAATGGCAGGACCTGGGTTCTAGGCCTGGCTTCACTACTCATTCACTGTCCCTTTCAGTAAGTCACCCAACTACCAAGTTTCCATCTGTAGAACTGAAATGCTCCTGCCCCACTTACCTCTAGAAGTGTTCCCAGCAACAAGCTCAGCAAGGTTCCCTGCATAAAATGTAAGACCACCCAAACCTCCGTGTAATCAAGAGTACAGACTAATGTCAGAATCCACCCAACGCTACTGAAGGCTATGGGAAAACAACATGTTGGTTTATAAAAGAGCTCACAAGGCACTTACTGGTCTCAAATGTTCTAGAACCAACTGTGAGCAGGACAGCAAAGTTAGAAAGTTACTGAATGAACCCAAGGAATCCATGTTTGAGCCTGTAAGAGTAGGTGCTGTTCCATCACTCCATTTTAGGCAAAGCACGCTCCTTCCCTCGAATGATGCACAGTTTAGCAATGTGAAGCTCTGGACAGTGGAATGTCACAGACCAGAGGCTTTAATGTGGTTACGCTTCTCCTTTGGCTCTCGGGTTCTGGTGACCCTCTACAAGGCCTGTCTAGTGCATTATAGTCTGCTCCTATGGCCCAGGGCCTAGAGTGGACACATGTACAACAAACCTAACCCTAACCCACAGCCTTGGGCCTGCAGTCCAGCCATCCAGCTGAAGCTGAATTTGGTTGACTCACATCCCTAATAGTATGAGAAGAGATGCTTGTTATAAACCAAGATGTGGCTTGTAATGCAGCATAACTGTGGCCAAGTTTGCTAATTATCAGGGGAATGAAGTTGAGAGGAATTAGAGGACCTCAAGTGACTCCTCCAAAAGGCCAAGCAAGCAAACACACATGGACTCTACACTACACTCACCAACCTCCACTAAAGTGGAAGGCAGGTGAGGGAGGGGGAATGAAATCCATACTTTTCCACGTACTATATCTGCCTAGCAGCTCTTTTTCCTGGTAACCATCTTCTCCTCTTCACAAGGATACTGGGTGCTGTGCCCTGCTAAGACAACATAGATATTCTCTAGGATTTCCTTATGCAGAAGGAGAAGTCTCCCTCCAGAAGCTACAGAACGTAATCAAGGGGCATTTGTAACTAAATGAGTAATACCACTCTTATGGACAGCACAATAAAGAGCAAAGATGAAAGGCAGTGCGAGTGGACAATCCCTGTTCCAAATGCATCTCTTCCCTTCTGGCATAGTCTGTTCTTTTAATCCCTCCTTGCTCAAAAGAGTTGAGATTTGTCTCTTGTAAGCCTGCACCCTGATTCTATATCCTTTAACTGTCCACAAAAGACAGGGACTGACCCCACCTAACCTTAACCAACTTGAATAATATAAAGTAATCTGTCTACTTTGGAATTCAAATGACTCAATAGGCCTATTAACATTTTTCTGTACTACCTAAGCCTCCCTCTGCTCACCTACCAGCTTGTTCTGCTCATATTTTGGATGCAAAGAAAATGATAGAATCAACTATTTACTTTCTTCTAAATACTCCAGCAGACGAGGGTCCAAAAATCTGCATTTTCCAGTGAGTTCTAACATGACACTGATGGTGCTAATCAAAAGACCACACTCTGCAAACCACTGGCCTCCAGCAACAGGAATGAAACCCCCTGGTGGCTCAAGGGGGACAGCTGAGGGGGTGTAAATGAGGGAGGCCTCAACGGTTCCCACCAACACTCCTGGGTTTCTTTTCTAAAAATAACATGTAGCTTTTTATTACACTAGAGAAGACCTTCTGATGGGACGCTAAGAACACGCAGTACTAGGAAAGGTAGAAAACTCTGTCAATGCCTTTCTATATAAAACAAATTATAGCTTTGTTTTAAAGAGAGAACTTCTACTTGGATTTTCACCTCAGAGGAGTGTAAGAGCCTGTATCACTTACTACATGTAAACTAGTTGACTTCTGTGTCATTTTTTCTATCTCAAAACTGTAGGGATGGGCTCCCAGCACATTAAAGGTCAATAAACATTTAGTGAATAAATAGAATCAGTCTTTCCTTACCTGTACAGTCTAATTTTAAGCTCACAATCTTGCTATCAGGCCCGCAAAAGCTTTTCACTGCAGGGTCAGAGAAGAGAAATTACTATCCTGGAGGAGCCCCATCAGCCACAGAGCTTGGAACCTTACAACCTTAGTCTTTTTGAAAAGCAAGAAAGTGAATGTTTCAGTAACTACTATTGTGTTATGTCTGACACTACACACACATTTTTATTAAATCCAAACAATGCTGGCAGACAGGTAAAACAGCATTTTACTTGGGGTGTGAGTGTGTGTGTGGCTTATAACATTAAGATAAAAACAGCAACAATTCTCTTTTAACTAGTCATGGGATACAAAATAAGGGTGCTGCTTCTACAACTTAACTTCATACAAGCTGCAAATCACTAGGCTGGAAAAAAGGGACAAATGACTATTATGTAATATGCTGATGGCTGCACCCAGAGCATTCTGCACTTAATGTCAGATCCTTTGTGGTGAACAAAGATGAGTGAAAATTCTAAAGAATTCTTAGGTGCTTATCTGACTTCCTCCACTGTTTCGTGTTTTGGGACAAGACCTCACTCGGTGGTTCAGGCTGGCCTGAACCCTGTGATTCTCCAGCTCCAGCCTCCCTCCTGCTGAGATTACAGGTGTGTGCCATCTTGCCCCGCTTACCTCCATTATTCTCAATGTACTTTTTTTTTTTTTTTTTTTTTTTTTTAAATTTTAAGGGGCTTAACGAGAAAGCTAGGGCGTACTCTCTAAAATCCGTATTGAATCCTCAAGTTTTGAGAAGCGACTGGGTTAAACCACAGCTAACACTCAAGGACAGAGAACCCACATGGTCCTCTTACCGAAACCTCTCGGTTGTGTACTGCCCCGGGCGGCTGAACGTGTCACTGCGGGTGCTTACAAGATCTTTTGTTTTACTTTGAGCCTTCCAAACAGCCACCCCGCCGACTTCACGCCTAGCCCGGCCCCCCACCGCCCGGGCGGCCTCACTTACCTTGGTGTCCACGTCGGCCAGGCAGTCCCTGCGGAAGCTGTCAAACAGGCCCCGGCTCTTGAGCTGCTCCACGATGAGAGCGATGAGCTGGGGGTCGCCGGGAGGAAGGTTGGCCGGGTTAATAGGGCCGCCCCCCCCGCTCGCCCCGGTCCCGCCGGCCGCAGTCCCCGCCGAGGCCTGGCCTGCTGCTCCCCCGCCCACCGCACCCGTTCCCCCGCCGCTGCCGCTATCTGCCATGCCTGCGCCCCGGGCCCGCGAAACAAACTCTGGACTGCTTTTCCCCAGAGGCGGAGGCCCTAAATTATACAAAGGTGGTGAAGGCCCCCACGAAGATAGCGGCACAGGGGATGGTGGGGGCGGGGGCAGGGGTGGGGGCAGCGGCAGCCGGAGCGGCGGCGGAGGTGGTGGTACTGCAGGAACAAATCGCCCGTTTGGTTCCGGGCCTGCGCCGGATGACGTCACAGACGACCTGTGCATTGTGGGACGGTTGGTTTTCAGTAACCATCTCCAGCGTTCTTATAGGCAGAGGTCTGTGCCGTAGAAACTACAACTCCCAGAAAGCGTCGAGCTCGCGCTGCGCAAGTTCGTGGGGCAGTATGGGAATCGTAGGCTCTGGCCCTCGTGATCACTGCAGCCGCCTAGCCTTCCCAGTTAACACGTGAATACATCCCAAGAGGGCCTGATTATAAAACTCACGGAAGCTGACCAGGTTACTGGGCTTATCTTTTAAAGATAATGTTTTAGTATTTTGGCTTTGGGAAACTGCTTTTGAGGTGGACTCCCAAGTCTCTAAAAAACGTGTGGGGAAAATTCACCAACAATGGACTAGTCATAGTTCTTGATTTTAATAGCAATGCATACTTATTTCCAGAAAATTGGAAAATAACAAAAGAGTATGAAAAAGAAAATCAGTCACACTTAAATATTTCTTATATATATGGATTTTCTTCCCAATATTAAATATTGCCAATATTACTACTAATAAGTTAATATTGACCAGAATGTGCCAGGTGTACACTTTAAACACACTGCTTCACAACTACCTGAAAGCAGGTACTACTGTTTTTCAGATGCAGAGATGGGATTTCAAGAGAATTTATTGTCCAGACTCTATGACGTATGTAGTGGTGGAAGGTAATGGTGGTCAGTCATCTGGTAATGGGATGACTGCTAGCTCAGCTGTACTTTGCCAATCATGATTTCCATCTGAACTGAGGGAAAAAATACTTCAATCGGTGGGCAACAAAAGGGTAAGATTTGAGCCCAGATTGCCTGAATTCAAATCGTTCATTTTTAACTTAAGGTATACTACACAGTAATAACTTCTTGGCATTACATGATACATAAATCTTCATATCCTATTTTTTATAGCCACAGTTTGTCATTGGAATTCCACAGGTGCCACCACTATTCTCTCTTCATTACCTTCTTTGGCCTGTTAGCTCTGTTACTACCAGCCCTGGCAATTATGTTTGCTGTTGTTATTCTCTCATCTTACATGAGCAATGGAAGGGTGTTGTTATGGTTTGTGTCTAGTCATCCCCCCAAAGCCTCCTGTAGTCCTGGGGTGCCTTCTGGAGTTTGTGATTGATTATTGTGGGTGTGAAGCTGCATCTGCCCGGGGCAGGTAATTTCATTACAATGTAAGGAGGGGAGAGAGGCTAGCTAGCTGCCAGAGCTGCTGCCACTCCCTTTGCTCTCTTGCTCTTTGCCACTGCCATGAAGGGTTGCTTTCTGCTATGTGCTTCCCTGCCTTGGAGCCAGCTGAGTATGGACTGAAACCTCCAGTAACTGTGAGCTAAATAAACCTTTCCTTCCTTCATTTTGGGTCTCAGGTATTTGCCTCAGCAAGGAGAGAAGAGTAACTGAAACAAGTGTAAGTAATAAATTTTGCAATATTCTTTTCTCCTGTGAAGATCCAGAATAGGCAGCTATTCACAATGATGTCTCCTTCAACGTTTCCCACCAGTTTCCGTTAGTTCCCAAAATAAATCCCAGGTGTTAGATTATACTTCTTTAACATCAGCTTATTCTCAATAGTTGAATTAATGACATTCTCTATTAATAGTCTTCCATTCTTAGGATCACCTAACAGCTATTCCTAATAGCTGACCTCACACTGATCAGTCATCTTTAACCCAAGAAGAAGTACAGGTTGCCGCACACTCCTGTAAGGATCCGTGGGTCTCAGTGATTCATGATCTACCTGGGGAGAAACAGCGGCAGGAATAAGGAAAAGATAGACAAGAAGACAAGAATTGCATTAGGTGGTGACTCTTGGTGAGACAACCCCCTTAGTAACAATATGGACGTTTATTTATACATTTGTAAAGTTAGTAAAACATGACACAAGGTTTCCTAGTGACTAATAGCCAACATTAACCGGCCAGAATGCTTATCACAGGACTGAGGGAGCTTGTCTGTTTTAGGCACTGAGGCCTAGTCCTGCCTACACACATTTGACCAGTTTTCCAGCTTCCATGGCTCCCAACAGTTCAGATTGCCCCAAACTTCCTGATCCTTCTTGACCAACCTCATCTCCACTTTTGGAATACTACACATTCTCCAGCATCTGGGTAAACTGTTCTAGTTCCCAAATCTTCTACTCTCCCTTATACAGACTTCTAGACCCTCCCTGTTGTAGAAATCATTGTCATTGAAAGTTTTATAGACTAATGGCTACTTGGTTCCCCAGCAGAATATAAGATTTAGAGCAGGAACTGTAACTTGTTCGTCACTCGGCACACATTACCTACCTCAAATGAATGCATAAGTTCCTGTCTGTTTCATGTAGTCAGAGAGTAGGGTTGAAGAGTATATGAATGGTTAAGATCCTTAGAAAATAAATGTGTTATAACAAGAGATGGTGCATTAATCTGTCAAGACTTACTGGGTAATTTGAGATCCTGGAGGCTGACAGTGGATGGTTCACACTGGTAGTGTCACCTTCTGTTAGGGAGCCCTTGTGTCCCAGATGTAGATCTCTGAACTATGTTACACTCTGAGCCCATGACCTTGCTTCTGGAATTAACACACGTCGTGTGGGCTGGAGGTGGGTGGAGGGTGAAGAATAAAGATGTTCAAGAAAATAAAGGGAGATTGATTATAAACTGAGGCCTTGCCATAGATCATACATCCAAGCCGTATTCCCCTGCAGCAAAGAGGCATGTAATACAAACAATAGTCACGAGGGGGCACCATTGTTGTATTAATAATTCAGAACAGTCACCAACGAGGAGTGATTTAATTTTGGTCTAAAGGAGTAGTCTCTTTTTCAGGTATCCTTTTGGTAATGAATCACTGTTGATTCTCAGTGCTAAAGCTCATCCGTAACAGGCTTTTTGAGCATGGTGAAATTATAAGCACTAGATGTTAGAAAATTTTATGTCAAAGATTTTGGAAAAAGGTGGAACCTCACTAAATCCAAGTCCAGATATTGCAGAACTGGAGAACTGTGGTTTGCCAAGGGAAATAGGATAATGGAGGAAAATTCATGGGCTTTCTTATGTCAGGTGGCACTGGATTGGAGTCTAAGTCCATCCTTTATAGGTGATATGTCTTTGGGAACATTAGTTACATCACCCACACTTCCCAAGATAGTGGAGAAGATTAAGTGTAGTCCTGACATTACATTAGCATAATGCCAAGTCCTTACCAAATGTTGTATAAAATATCGCCGTCATGAATTTGTGTTTGCCTAGGAGGTAATTTGATTAACCTCTATCTTCCCCAGTGACCCCAACATTATAGATATCAGTGCACCTGTGATGCTTGGGATAGCGCCTGGCATGTACGGACTCTCTGTAAGTGTATGATGGATGAGTGAAAGAAAAGAAAAAGAGTAAATTGGAAAACCTGGAAGAGTTTGTGTACTGCCCTGGACCAAATGTCAGAGTATGGCCAATCTTTAGGAGGATCAGATATAATTGAGGTATCAATCCATAGTAACTAAGAGGCTGGGGCTGGGAGCAAAGTCAAAGATGAGAGGAGGGGCTGCGTGTGGGTTGCCTTGGTAACCTTCCAACTTCCTCATCTAGGACCTGGTCCTTAGGCAGGAGCATGTCAAAGCCCTAACATTCAATACAAGTCTGCATTCAGATACCACCTTGTGTTGGGCAGACTGGTTACTGATTGGTCTTTAGTTTTCATGGAGTAACTCTTCTTCTTCTTTTTCCTGCCTCTATCTGTTCATCCAAGGAGCCTTGCCAGTTCCTGGGCTGGACAGATATTCGCTTCTTAATTTCCAGTGTACAGTTTCTTGAGATTATCTGTCTGTAGCATTATTGTTTACATCTGTACCATCTGATGTCTGTTTCTTTTTTGGTGTTTATTTCTGATGTTTTTCAGCATCTCTGATGACATATTGGATCCAAATACACAGTAAGAAAAGAGGGCTTATGGCTGGCCAGATAGCTCAGCAGACTAAAGCATCTGCTTAGGCAGACTCAGGGACCAGGGTTCAATTCTCAGTGTGCCATGCGAGCCCTGCCCTGGGTGCACAAAGATGGTCAGACTGGGCATGGTGGCACTCGCCTGTAATCCCAGCACTGGGGAAGCTGTGACAGGAGGATCACTGCAAGTCTGAGCTTGTACCAAATAAATAAACAAATAAAATATTTAAAAAGATCTCATTTGAGTTCGGATCAGCTGTGTGACCTAAAGCCACCCACTAGCCAGTTTGAGCGTCTGTGTGTTTCTCTATAAAATGGTCATATGCATGCCTACCTTGCAGGGGCTGCACAAAAAATTAGAGATGATATATGTATAGAACCTGACACACAGTAGGCCTGCAGTAGTTAATAGGTAATAATATGGCTAATATCCTAATGTATTTACTCATGGTCTTTTATTGGACAGAAATCTTGGCTAATATGTAACTAGGATTAATACTAATAAATATGTTACTCTGATCTGATAGTTTAATTACCAATGCGTAAGAAACCATTCAGCCAGTCTTGAAATAGATGGACTCGATGAAGTCAAGTTTGTACTCAGGCTTTGGGTGCTATTGCTCTGTTGCTGCTGGGGTCTACATTGCGCCTGTGTTTGTCTTCATACTTCCAGCAGCTCAGTCTTCCTGATCACTTCAGTTACTTCTAGTTGACTCTAACATCTGTCGCCCTTTTTGTCTTTTTAATTTATTCATGTGTTTGGTACAGGGTCCTGCTATGCAGCTCCAACTCGTAGTGATCCTCCTGTCTCAGCCTCCCTGGCACTGGGGTTACAGGTGTGCACCACCGTGCCTGGTTTCAGTGGCCAGTGCAGCCCATGCAGGTTCTGGGCCCAGCATAGCGTGCGGTACCAGGGATTGAACCCAGGTCCTTGCACTTGCCAGGCAGGTGCTTAGACTATTGAGCTATGTCCCCTGCCCTGTCACCTTTTTTATA